GCACATCTCTGTTGTGAATCTCTTCTGCTTTTCGTCAATTTAAATCATAAAGTGTCAAATAATTTTTCTTTGGCATCTGATGATTCAACTTGATAGAGAAACTGATTCTTATGATTCAAATTAAAATTTCACTAATACCGTAATTTTACCCAATTTGTGTTGCTAGAATTAATTAAATCTGCATCAACCACAACTACACCCCCTATGCCCCTCTCGGGACAGCCCTGCATCAACCATAACTAAAACTCCAAAACTATGATCCACATTCCACTCTTTAGAATTTTTTATTACTTGCTCAACAGATTTTTCTATTCTTTCTTTAGAATTGTTTGTATATTGTAATTGATATTTATTTATAGGCTATGAAAAAATGTCCTTTTTTCCAATGGATGTAATTTTCCATTGTCTTCATTACTTGTATACTTTATAAAACCCCTTCGCAATTCATTAAAAATACATTAAATATTAGCTTTCATTTACCCATTATCAGCTTAACCTTGGATTTCAATTATTATTTTGGTCATTCTTTGAATAGCAATTGTCAACTCTTGCTTGAGTGGCTACTACAATGACTACTTTGTATCTTAATAAAAAACATACTAACGTCAACAATATGTTTTACATTATAAAACTCTAATTTATTTTCTACAATAAAATTTTTACTTCTTTATATGACGATTAAAAGTATAGTTGATGGATAAAATGGTTTTGGGGTTTTAAGATTAGGTTTTGACTGTTTATGGTAAAAGGAGACCTGTCAGACGCTTGGTTACCGATTTAATTGTTTTACCAAAGAAAGATAAGATCAAATGTTATTATTTAAAAATATTCTATTTTTATGTCTATAGTATGTCTAAACATATTTTGATGATTGAATTTTCATAGGAAAAAAGGTAAAACTTGAGTAAAACTGATATATTTTAAACAACTCGTGAGAAGAAACATTAAAAAAAAAAATCATTTACGCTTCTTCCAACACCCTATTACATAATAAAAATATCCGTTCCTATATCTAAAATTTTAAAAATATGGTCTGCTCTAATATACATTTTGCCCTCTCTAATATACACTTTGCTCACATCTCATATACATTTAATTTAACTTTTTATTTACAAGCAAAAATTAACTTTTGCTCTATACTAAAAGTATTTTTCCACTTATCTGTTTTTCTACGGGATTGAGAAAGGTAAGGGAAAAATAACCACGTGACTAAACGTAAATTTTTCCCTAGCAAAACTACACATGTTCACGCGAGTTTTTATCTTTCCTTTCCCATTCAAGTAGAAAAATGGATAATTGAAAACTCATCTTAACTATATTTATTATTTAAAAATTTTATAGAAAACGGACTTTTTTGTTGGGTTTAATTTTTGACTATTATTTCGTTTAAGAAAAAAAGCTTTTTAACCCTTTTTGAAAAACATATTTTTCTCAAAAATTGTTTTTTCCAAAGTTCAGTTAATTTGCTGTTAAGATTATATTTATCGTTCTTAAACAAAATTAGTTTTGTGTACAGAGTGTTACTTGAGCTTAGATTTTACAATAGTTCCAATAAAATATGATAAGACACAAATAATATTAAATTATAATTTATTAACTAGATTAAGATAATGATAAAAAAAAACTTATCTCTTAAGCATCCGAAGTGTTTTGTTTTTACATTTTTCTAAAAAAAAACCGCGTTTCGTTTTCTGTAAACAAGAAGTCTATATATTACAATCTTATCTAATGACTGTTAACAACTCGTCTTGAAAAACAACGTTTTTCTAAAATCGAGGCCAATGTTTTTCTTAAATCGAGGAAATAAAGGTACTCAAAGAATAACTTTATTTTCATGTTAATACATCAATAAATTTTTTTCTTTTTTTTTTCAACGCATTAATTTGCATTTCTGCATAAAGTACCCTGGTTATAGGTAAGTTTTTATCATTTTTTAAAAGTTTGTTAAGTTTTCAAACATCCGGTTACAGTTTGTGTTCTAATCAAATTAGCTTTAACGATAAACTTTGCGTTACTTTGTTAAATTAAATTAATTTAAAAATATAATGGTTGAAGTCAGTAATTGTTTCACAGAAACTGATTTGTCAATTTATTATATTGATTGATAATAAATCTGAAATCAAAAGTCCTATCATCCTGCTAACATTTTATGCTTAAGAATTATTTATAAACATTTTGTATAAACTAAATATATATATTTGATTTATTTATCTTCCACTTATGTTATTCTTGCTTCACACCATTTCAAATTATCTTTTCTGAATAATTTGTTAGTTGCATTAGCTTTTTTTAACAAAAATATGTTTGTATCAGAAGCAAAAGCAAAAGGACAGAAGTAACAGAAACCTAAGTTGTACAAGAATCGGGGTTCACGAGTGTTCCCATCAAAATTAAGACATTCTTATGCATTTTAAATATCTTATTAACATCTAATTTTAAAAGTTTGAAATAAAAGTTGTTCTTTGTAATTATTTATTATTTTTTTTATTTATTACTTTGCTGCCTACATTTACATTTAAAAAAAGAAAATTTAGATTATTTATTCTACATTAGTTGGTTAACTAATCATAAAAAATGTTACAAGCTCTTTGCCTGTGAAATATGTTTGACGTTATTACCGGGTTAATTTTTAATTCTGGTTCTAACCAAGCATCCGTGGTCTAACCAAGCATCCGTGGTCTAACCAAGCATCCGTGGTCTAACCAAGCATCCGTGGTCTAACCAAGCATCCGTGGTCTAACCAAACGTGGTACTCTTAATGATCTTTTTTAAACCCATCTATTTTAGTTTTCTTAACTTACTCCCGCTCCAAAAGAAAAGCAGTTTCAAAATATTATTTTAAAATTCGAATTCTAAATTTTTTTAAAAAGCTTTTTGACTTTATTTATTGTTATTAAAAATTATTATGCAAATTATGGCTATTCATAATTTTTTTAGTTGCGAAAATATAGAAAACATAAATATGAAAAAAATATATTTTAAGTAACTTTTTTATAAAAAATGGAACTCAAAATAGATATCTTTTGATAACTTATAAAAGGTAACTTGTAAAAGATAACTTATAAAAGGTATATCAATTAAAAGAGTTTGTTTAGGGTTATATATGATTAGGTTTACAGTTAGACTCGGTTTAGGATTAGAGTTAGGTTCATTAGTACCACTCAAAATTCTGCTTGGTTGACTTACTTAAAAAGTCTAGTCGAACAAATCGAAACAAATATATAAGCAAACTGAACAAACATATAAAAAATCTCAATAAAAGTTATTTTTTTTTGTTTATGCGAAGAATAGTATCTAATATAAATGTGTTCACTCTCAATCACTCTTTAACAAACACAACAAACTTAAGTATATTTAAGTGTATGATTCCGATAGCATATTTTTACATTGAATTTTTTTATTTATTTTGGAAATAAATACATCTAATCTTTACATAGAATACATATAGGCCACATACATTAATTAGGTTTTCATATAGCAACTAACCGGTCGAAGATAAACCACAATACATTTTTTTTTTATTTCGATTATAATTTCAATTTTATTACACTAGTATATTAGCCAGACAAGTAAAATATTAAAAAAAACTTATGGAAACATGAAGAAAGATGACACAAGCTTTAAAATACATTTATATCTCAAGCAATAACTATCCAAATAAAAAAAACTACTAGTAGCAATATTACTAACAATATTATGTGTTAAACTTAAATTGTCGTCTGCAGATTTGCCGTCAACTTACGTATTAAGGTTTTATGTTAAAAAATGGCAACAATAAAGACACAGCCCATGACTACGAAACGTCATCAGTAGCTAGATTTAAATAATGATCATATAACTAAAGTTATTAGGAAATGAAAAAAATGGTCTCTCTGATTAAATCTCAATCTAATTAAATGAGTGACATCAAGCGTTGAAATTAATAACAATAAAATTAAAATGAATAATAATAATCGAATGAATGATAAAAATGGTGTAACTCAAACAGAAACGTTAGAAGCACACATTACCTAATTAATTACATTAAAACGTTAATAACAAAAGTATTTCTAACATATGACAAAATTTCGAACCTCCCTCCTCCACGTTAAATCGAAAGGTGAAAAGAGTTATTTTAAAAGTAAACAAGATTTTAAATCAATAGGAGCTTTTGCCAAAATAATAAAATGCAAAACAAAAGTGTATATTTACTCATATAAGTATATATATATATATATATATATATATATATATATATATATTATATATATATATATATATATATATATATATATATATATATATATATATATATATATATATATATATATATATATATATATATTTTTTTTTTTTTTTTTTTACTATTATTATTAGCGAAACATCAATTGTTAAAAAAATCGAAATATATCCCGGTGGGAAATCGGCTAACAAATAGCTAGCTATAATCGTCACGATAAAGACAGCGATTTGGCCACGAGGATCGCTAGCTTTTTTAAGTTAGCGAAAAGCTATCGATATTTGTAAAGATAAAGAGAGCGATTTGGCTACGAGGACAGCTAGCTTAATAAGCTAAAGACTCACAGGCTATTGTAGCTACCGTCATATCGTAATAAAATCGCTATCAAAAAAATTTTGGTATGTAGCTATCAACCAGCGATAGATTTGTAGATATTTTGTAGCTAGCTATAAAGCTACGATATGTAGCTAGCGACACATTGCTACAAAATCGCAATGTTTAAAGTTCAATTATTCTCGTAATTATAATAGACTCAACACTAAAAACCGAATTTTTAAAGATGTTAGAGACATTAGTAAAGAATAAAATAAGAAAAAAAAAATCGCTTGAAAATCGCTATAAAGCTAGCTAGTCGCTCGCTAGTCGCTAGCTCATTTCCCACCGGGATCTTTTTAAAAAATTTATTTACAAACAAAACATAACAAAAACTATATATTATATACAATTACAAAATATATACAAAAATATATATATATATATATAAAAAGATGTATTAACGACA